AGACTTGTATCCCTTACCGGCTTGGTCTCCGTGGCGCTGCTCACGGTCGTGCGGTGAACCGCTGCTCGCATGTAGCGCTCTGGGCGTAAAACTGAGCACAGGTGATGCTGGAGTCTTGCGCGTCTACCTGAGGGAGAAGAAAGGATTTTGTAACTTGTTTAAGGCTAAATTACCTCATTCTCCGGCCAGCTTTTATAACATAAATCAAATTTCTTTGTTTTACTGTGTGGATTGTGTGCAGGAAACTTAAATGAAGTTTTTGCTGTCTATATCTTAAAATTCTATAGAAACTTGTATAACTTCTCCTTTTTTGTCCTATTAATATTATTTTCTAAATGCACATAACCTCACAGAAGTAGAGGGTTGAGGGGGGATTGTTTCCCCCTTACCTCCCCCAACTCCCTCCAGACTGGTAGATGAGAAAGGCACAATATTTGTAAGAGTGATTTTCAGGCTGAGGAGATGCATTTTGTGGCATATCCATAATGGACAATGACTAGCTTGTTTTCTGCAAAATAACATACTAGGTTTAGAAACTAAAAAAGTAAAGACTGAAGAAGATGAATCTGCAGAGGTGGAAGATGAAGATGGGCAGGATTCTGGAGAAAAAGAAGTGGAAGAGGAGGAGGATGAAGTGCCCAGTTTACCATTAGGTGTAACAGGTATCTTCTGTCCTCTTTTTCATATATAAGCTAAAATTCAGGTTCTAAAGCTTTATAGTAGCGCAAGCTGCTGTCTTCAAATTTGTATTAAGAGTCAAGCATTTGAATATATGTAGCACGATAGCAGTATCTGCAGAATTATTTATTCAGTTACTGTTCTTTGAAATTTGCGTTATATATACTCCTTATTTAACTATTGGTCTTAAATTTACCAGGAGGAAAAAAACTCTTTGAAAACATACACACTATCTGTATAAAACATACATGCCATTATATAGTATGTATCTTTACAAATGTTTGTATACCTACATATGTTTAATTGTAGAAGGAAAAAATCAAGAGCAGTGTAGAGGTAGATGACTGCTAAATTTGGCATGAGAAGCAGTGCATTCATGTTTATTTTTAACAGCTCTAGCTGATACTGCTAGGAACACATTAGTATAGAATGTTTTGTCAGTGTTGTAGGATTTTATGGTAGGAAGGAATAAGAAAAAGTCCTTTACTTTGATTTTTCATCCAGGTAAATTTAACTGGATAATTCCAGAGGATGGATGGAGCTGAAGAAACGAATTTGAAATTATTTCTCTCTCTCTCTCTCTCTCTTTTTTTTCCTCCTCAGGTGCTTTTGAAGACACTTCATTTGCTTCCCTTGCTGGTCTTGTCAGTGAGAACACCCTGAAAGGCATAAATGACATGGGCTTCACACATATGACAGAAATTCAACATAAAAGTATTAAGCCTCTTCTAGAAGGCAGGTAAGAAATACACATGTATTTTATATAGCTGTATTAACCTTGAATGCCGTGTAAATTTTGCTAGCAAATTAAATACATGAAATGTGACTTTCTGCAGCTAAATTTTAAAATATGAGAAAACATACTTAAATGTTTTATTTACCGTATTTTGTTTAATCGTTCATACAAGTTAACAAAGTATATGTTGTGTGTGAAGAAATACTCAGGGTAGATTCATGGAAAACACTTTATATTTGGTTTAAAAGCAGGGCAGTCTGTTTTCAGTACTCGCTTGTGTTAGTGTGTCCCATAGAGCCTCTAGAGACATAGAGACCGATTACTATTGACAAGATCTGCCACTGAGCTCTTAAAACTTACTATAGTAGTTTCTTTTAAGCCATGTTATGTTTTCACATTGTCAACATTGTTCAAAATGGGATTGCTTTTTTTCTCTGTAGATTTAACTAAGAGCTTCTCTTTCTAACTTTGCTGTATACAGGGATATTCTAGCAGCTGCAAAAACAGGCAGTGGCAAAACACTTGCATTTCTCATTCCTGCAGTAGAACTCATCTACAAGTTAAAATTCATGCCTAGAAATGGTAAGGCTCTTCCTTTGTTTCACAGTTGAATTTTACAGCGGCCCAGCCATTTAGGGATGGGGCTGTGAAAGGGATGGGATGAGCTGTTGTAACTTACTCTTGGATGATTGGTGATTTTTTTTTTTGTTTTGTTTTGTTTTAGGAACGGGTGTTATTATTCTTTCACCTACTCGAGAGCTTGCTATGCAAACATACGGAGTTCTTAAAGAACTTATGAATCATCATGTTCACACCTATGGTCTGATAATGGGGGGCAGTAACAGGTCAGCAGAAGCACAGAAACTTGGAAATGGGATCAACATCATTGTGGCAACACCAGGAAGACTTCTGGATCATATGCAGGTAGGTAAAACACTGGCTTCTCATGTGCGCTATTAAGACAAAGCAAGATCCTTGTCACTGTCTGACTGGGTTTATTCATCTTCTAGAACACTCCAGGTTTCATGTACAAGAACTTGCAGTGTTTGGTAATTGATGAAGCAGATCGTATCTTAGAGGTTGGGTTTGAAGAAGAAATGAAACAGATCATAAAACTTCTACCAAGTAAGAAAAAAAAAATCTATCTTTCCTGGAAATTACTTGACTAAGATTATGTCTTCTTTATGACTCAATTATTATAAGAAAAGTCATTAATTTTTATAGTTCTGTAAATGCACTTCAGAGTGATTGTCTTACTCTGTCTTTTTCTTCTCATAGGTAGTATGTATTATTTTATTTAGCATCACCTATTTGGAGGACAAAATTTTCATATGTACTCTATGGGTATTATTCTGCTCGTGAGAGATCCTTTTAGTTTGACTTCTAGATTAGATTGTCATTCATCTTTCTCTCAGTGCATGCTTATTTCCTACAGTTCCTTATTTCCTAGTAATGGTCAAATACCGTAAGAAAAAAGGTCTTCCCATGTGCAGTTGGAAGTTTCTTCGTATCTCCAAGAACAGTCTCTTAAGTTTATTTGAACACTTACCTTTAAAATTTTGCTTTCCTAATTTATAAGTTTCAATTTAGTTATTCCATGTAACTGATCTGTAAATTAACGTTCATCGTTTCTCGGAGTTACCAAGGCTTTTCCTTTAATTCTTAAAATGTAGAACTAAAGAACATGGAAATAGTATATCAATAAGCAATGTTAAATTCCAGATCTTAAATCTTATATTTCAGGTGTGCGTGTTTAATAGGCAAATATATAAATCTAATTAGTAACATGCTGTGAAGAATGTCAGTGTACAGTGCTAAAAAGGGAAGAGGAGGGAAGAGTGGTAAAACTGCATGTTCTTCGTGAAGAAAACGACAGAAGAGATTTTTATTTTGCGTGAATGTATTACTCTTGCCCTATTAGGAAGGAATTCATATTTTATAACGGAGGCTTCAAAATAGGAAAATAGTTTTTCAGAAGTGGTCGAACCAGTTGTTCCAAAAGAACAATTGGTACTGTTCTTGGAGTTGTAAAATGGAATATGTTTAAGTCCATGTTTTCCGTGTATTCATGTAACAGGAAAATGTTACAGGGTCAGGATATATGTATTTGAGCTGAGGGACAACATGCAGGCAGGTGGATTTTTACAACTGCTGTAAGATCCACTGAAGTCAGTGAGGATCAGCACACAGGTAATGCCATGTGACAAAGAGCATGCACAAATGTGTGTATTATAGACTATGCAGGAAAAACTTACAAATCTGAAGTGTGTTGTTACCACTTACCTTGCAAAACTAATTTCCAGCATAATTTTTTATTTTGAGAAAACAAAAGCGTTTTAACAAGTTCATGGGAATGAAATCAATCTGTAGTTGGAATTACAAGGGAAGTATCTATTTAAATCAGTTTGCTGTCTAAATTGGAGTGCAAATGATTATTAACATTTTCCCAGCAGGAAAGAATACTTAGTTTTTATAGGTGATAGGATTTGGCGGGGTGAAGGCAACGTAGGTAAACATCATATGTAATGCATAGTAAAACTACACTTAGTTCTGTTTATCAGTAGCTGTATGTTTGAATTGGAATTCAGTATTAAAAAGGAGAAGACTTGCTCAGGAAAGAAGAAAATGACTTGCTAGTTGAATTTTTCTTTAAAAAATGAGATTCCTTCAAAATTAATATTTTCAGAGCGCAGACAGACGATGCTTTTTTCTGCTACACAAACCAGAAAGGTTGAAGATTTGGCTAAGATCTCTCTGAAGAAAGAGCCCCTATACGTTGGGGTTGATGATAACAAGGAGACAGCAACAGTAGATGGTCTCGAACAGGTAAAACAGAAATGTTATTAAAAGCGATGTGCTTTGTGAACATACCGAGTTCTACATGTTTTTAATTGGGTTGTATAAACACTGCCTTAGAGGGTGTTTACCATCCTAATGAGCAAAAGCTATCAGTTGCCTAAAGGGATTTATTCAGTCTGCTCTCTAATAAATGTCATGCATCTAGTAGATGTTTGCAAGATAGATGGTAAAAAAAGTCATGAAATAGTAATACACTTGCTTACCTTTATCTGTTTTTATTTACATTACATGCAAAGAGCAGTAATTACATTACTGCAAGCTGCAGTTCTCCTTGTTACTGTAGTCACCATGTTGTTAACTAGAGAACACCTTAGGTATATTTAACTGCTGCAGCTTCAGGTAATAGCAAAATGGAGTTGCACAGAAATTGCTGAATTTGTGCAGTTGACAAAACGATGAGTGTTACTATAAAATTGCCAGTAGGTATGTATTACCATAAAAGAGTAAGTTTATGGTAAGAGTTTCTTGAAATAAAATTTTTGAAATCATAATATTAAGAACCCTGTGCAGTCATTTTCATGCCTAATGTTAGTGATTGAGAAGTTATTGAAATAGGTTATTATTGTATAAACAAACTGCTTTTCACGGAACTTAAATGAGATTGTTTTGGAGAATTAAGTAAAAATTATATCTTGGAGAATTATTTCAGGTTAGTACAGTAAGATTCTTGCTAAGTTCATCATCTTACTTCAGGAGCTTCATGCACCCTAGTGAGGGACAAACCATAAAAGGAATGGTTTGGCCTGATATTGCTGGAAAAAAAACTGCCTGGCATGTTTTTTTCAGCACGTAATATGCCTGTGATATAATCGTATTAGTGAAGTAAAAATGTATTTCATACTGCTGTATTTTACAATGTTTGAATAATTTCCAGGGCTATGTAGTATGTCCATCTGAGAAAAGATTCCTTTTGCTCTTCACCTTCCTCAAGAAGAACCGGAAGAAGAAACTGATGGTATTTTTTTCTTCGTGTATGTCGGTGAAATACCATTATGAATTACTCAACTATATTGATTTGCCCGTTATGGCCATTCATGTAAGTATTTTATTCATCGACTTATTTTTAATCAATCGGATAGTACCTGTAAGTTGTTACTGACCTTTCTTGTGCCCTCATTTTTTCCAGTCCAGCTTAATAGAAAGATATCCTGCTCACAAACTGATGATGATCTTGAGACTAGTTTGCAGAGCAAGGAGATAAAGCAAAGACTATCTAGTAACAGGATGTCAATATCATTAATCTTGTTAGTTCCCAAACCAGGGCTGAAACACTGATACTAATTTATGTTCTGTATGGAAAACTTTTGGTTATCCTCTAAGAGGTGGCCTTTCACAAGCACTAAAACTCAATTTATGGATCAAAGTTAAGAATCAAAACACTTTGATCGTTGCAATTTCAGGTACTTTTTCTGTGGCTAGGGGGATGTTTGGTTTTAGTATACCAGTTCTCTCCATCTGGATGAGTATCTTCAATAGTTATCAAAAAGACAAACTTGCGTAGTTAAGAAGAGATTGACTGCAAGTTTATGAAACAATTATAGCTGACCGCAAATGTACTTGTCTTTTTGATTTGTTGGAGGTTTTGTTGCTGCACTTCAATAGAACTATTTATTACAAACATGTTTTTGTTTCTTTTAACCTGTAATTCCTAGTCTTGCAAATATCCTTTTTCTGAACTGAAGGCATTTATATAATCCTCTTGAAACAAATGAGTTTTCAGTGCCTTAGAACATACAGCATAAGCTGATAAACCATTTTATGTGGCCCTGTGCTATTTACTGTGCTAGCTTTGTTTCTTCCTTCTGAAATGGCATTGCCTTCAGAAATTGGTGTTTGTCTATACAAGCCTATAAGATGGAAAGATGCCCTAAATTATTTTATATTTTTACCAGTAATATAATGTATTAAATGAGAAATTATATGTCAACTTACAAATCGACAGAATTCCTGGGATGAAATGTCATCCTTAATTTGTTTACTTCCAGGGCAAGCAGAAACAAACGAAACGTACTACTACATTTTTCCAGTTCTGCAATGCGGAATCTGGAATACTGTTGTGCACTGATGTAGCTGCTAGAGGACTGGATATTCCTGAAGTGGACTGGATTGTCCAGTATGACCCTCCAGATGATCCAAAAGTAAGTTGAAGAAATAGAATAACTTCCTAGCAACAAATCAAATCCTAGCTACAAATGTAGCTGCTGAGAAAACCTGATTCTGCTGCTTGACAGAGGTCAGGCTTCAGCCATGTTCACATCTAGCAGCTAATTTCTTCCACTTCCCCACCAGTAGCCCCTAGAAAAGGGGTGCACCTAGCTGAAACCTTTGGTACCTCTTTAAAGAGTTTTTTTTTTTTTTAAATATTACTCTTCCTGCTATTAAAGCAATTTAAAATCTAATCAGCTAGACAACAGATGAATTTGTAAAAGGAGTGTGATGTTACATATGCATCCCTGAGCCTCCTAACAGCTTTTCCAATGAAAGTTTGATTTTTTATTTAAAAAGCAACATTCTCATTTGAATAAATATGCACTGCAAACAAACAACACCCATAAAACTCATAAGTCTTCAGAAATATGCAGAGCAGATGTGTCAAAAGTTTGATTTTTCAACTACTGCAAACCCCAAGCTGTTGTTAACAGTGAAAGGTGAAATACAGTCAAGTATTCCTGTTTTGTGTCTTCACTAAGAATGAATTTTAAAACATAATGGGTGACACATTGAACTGTATTAATGTTAAATTTGTTTTTCTGTGAGGCTGTTCATATTATTGCATATTTGAAAGACTGATTGGACTTGTTTTTCTTTATTATTTCCAAAAGGAATACATTCATCGAGTTGGTAGAACTGCCAGAGGTATAAATGGTAGAGGACATGCTTTGCTCATTTTACGACCAGAAGAACTGGGATTTCTTCGTTATCTAAAGCAAGCCAGGGTAAACTTATAAATGGCTTTTTTTTTTTTTTTTTACTGTGCAGGCAGGATTTTAAAGACAGAAACTGTAATGATTAATCACATGTTTTAATTTTTAAGCAAAAATCATGTTATTGCTTAGGAAATATTTAACTGAAAACTTAGTTGAAGCGTAAAGTGAGCAGCACAAAGGTAACCATCAAGTAATATTTAGAATTGCTTTGCAACTGAGGTTAGTGTGCTATTAAAAAAAAAAAAAAAAAGTTTTTTTCCTATGACCTCTCCATGGAAGGATACTGGGAGCTTGGCGCATGAGTGGGAATTAAAACCTGGATGTTGGTTTTTGTAGTTGTTGTTTTTTCTGCTCAAAGAATACGTTACATTTTGTTCAGTTTCAAAAGAAGAGTAACCCTCTTCCAAATGTGATTGTTTTGATATGATAGAACACACTTTCTCAGTTGCTTTCCTTATGGGTTTGTTTACACTACAAATTTTTAACACTTGTAGCTGGAGTGGTATAGTTTAAAGTAATTGAAGCATCATAATGAGCATCTTTACTGCATTAGTTTAAAAGAAAGTGATAATACTGGTATATTGGTGTAAAAGCACTTGAAAAAAAAAAAAATATATATATATATATAAAATATAAAAAACTCTGAGGGTAATAATGGTGGAATCATTGTTTTGAATGAAAGATGATGTCAGAATCCTAAAACATATGTCCAGGTATGCTTTTCATTTTCAAAACCATCCTTGAACTTCAGAGTTAAAAATCACTTATCAACGGATACAGCTGTGGTATCCGTTACCGTTACCATAAACTTCTATTCCCTAACAGACCTTTTCCTATTTGGCTTAGCCCTTAAATGCAGTCCTGTTTACATCATATAAATAATTCATATACTTGATGTTTTTGTTTTTGCTTTTGCTTTTTTAAGGTACCATTAAGTGAATTTGAGTTTTCCTGGTCAAAAATTTCAGACATCCAGTCTCAGGTATAAATGACCTCATTCTATGGCTACTCTGAACGTTTGTATGACAATAATTTACATAGTGAATGTTATAGTCTTTAATGACTGAAATTGGTTTTAGATGTGAATGTTTTGAAAAGTTCTTATTTATAAGTACTCTATAGAAAATCCTGCTGTCATATTGCCCCGCTATGACATTGCAGTGATGCAGTGTTTTGAATTCAAAGATGTTTCATTATGTACAGTACCAAACTGTTGTAAATACAAATTTGTATAGAAGAATTTTCATTAATGGCACAATGCCACAGTAGTGTAGGACTTGCTTTTAACTTCTAAATAAATGTTTGTCTAGCATAGCAAACACAGAATTATGAAAGCTTTTATTGAAGTTACATGTATTCAGGTTAATTATTAGTAATGTATGTCTTGTGAGATGACTTCCTCAGACTTCAGCATGCTGAAGTCTATGTGGTAGCAACACTTAAAAATGCTAGTATGTATTCCAGGTGTACCAGTTACATTTTTGACTATTTGATGGAAATAAAACAGCGAAACCTGTTTTGCACTGTAGTGCTACAAAAATAGCTGTGGAGCACAAAGTTGAATAGAATAGCATAGATAGGTCTGTCAATGTGAATTTCTTTTGTTGTGTGAATCATCTTTTGTATGAGCTCTGTAAAGCCTCTTTGCCATGACTTAAATTTAAAATAGCAAGTACAAGTAGCACTGAAGACAGTCTTTACGGAAAGAGGTTCCTGGTTAACAATAATTAGAAAGTAATGATGTCAAATGTAACTTATTTTTAGTATGTCAAATTAATGTATGCTAAAGGTCAAATAAGACATTCGGATCTAGAGAGGTGACAGCATTGGGAACTTAGCCCTCCGCGAATAAAATACCTCGGTTAACATTAGTGAATGTGCGTTTTTGTCTTAGAATTAACACTGCTTATTTTATGATGAATTTGCAGCGTTACAGAGACACTACATGAAGGACCTGGGATGGTACAGTTCAGATGACCAAATTAAAAGCCTAGTGTTGTCTTTCATTAATTTTCAGTGTATCTAGTTTTGTGGGATGGCCGTAATTATATATTAGTTTGATTACGAAAACCTAATTTATTTTTGTGGCTTTTTCACATCACTGAGGCGACATACGGTAGTTTCCATTGAGACTTTTTTGTTCGTTTGTTAATAAAAGCGCTCTGATATATATTTGTGCACTCCGCTGTAACAGGGCAGTTTTACTGAAGTGAATAGTGAACATCATGGCAACTCACACAGTAAATAATTTGTTTGCATGTAATTTATACCGTTGCTGCAGCCATAATTGGATATGTGTCTTGCTTTTTTTCCTTACCAGCTGGAGAAACTGATTGAGAAGAACTACTTCCTTCACAAGTCAGCCCAGGAAGCATACAAAGCTTACATTAGAGCTTATGACTCCCACTCTCTGAAACAGATCTACAACGTCAATAGCTTGGATCTGCCCAAAGTCAGCCTTTCATTCGGTTTTAAAGTCCCTCCGTTTGTTGACCTCAGTATCCTTTTACTGCAGTGTTTCAGAACTGAATTTCTGCTCTAAAATGTTCAGTGCAGCTTACTGAAGTACCTAAGGTCAAATGTTGGGTTTTTTCCCCCCTCCTCTTTTGGTGTTAATCACATAAATGCGTTCTGCTCAAACAGTACTCTGTCAAAGAAAATGTTAAATGGCAATTTTTCCCGTGTCAGTATTTACTTAGGAACGCTTGTGTCTGAGTGCACATATGTTAATGCTTCAGTTGCTGCAGGTTAGCAGATTTGGGAATGTTACATACGTGTTCTCTTTTATGTAGCATCGTTTTCATTCAAAGGTATGTACTGAAGTGTAATCATGGAACTCTGAAATAGAGGGGCAAGAGCATGAAATAGACTGTTTCTAGATTATTTTCAAACTTGCCAGAAGATGGAATTTGAAGCAGTGATATTTTGGCCTACTCAGTTGGACAACTGGAGGATAAAAAACATTCGTTAGAATGACAGGCAGTAAGTAAGTTCCAGACGGTGTCTTCTGTAGTTATACAACTAAACCATTTGTGTAATGCTGTAGTTTTTTCTCAACTTAACTCTTACAATACTTAAAAAGCAGCATTTCAAATGGTTCCTTTTTTAAGTTCTTTAACCAAAACAATTTCAGATGTGAACAGCAACCAAGGCAGAAGACTACAGAAAAGAGGTGGAGGTGGAGGATTTGGTTACCAGAAATCAAAGAACGTCCACAAAGCTAAAATCTTCAAACACATTAACAAGAAGTCGGACAATCGACAATTTTCTCGTTAACCATACCTTCATTTAAATGGCTTCTGTCACTAGAACAGAGTACCTTGATGAAAATTAGCTGGCAGTTAACTTCCAGTTTAAATGGCTCTGTTTGTTTCTTAGGGTTTTTTGGTTTTGTTTTTGGTAACATCTTTATCTTTCATTTCAGGAAGACTTTTGGGGAGGGAGAATGAGAAGTAGTCTGCTAATTTTGCCATGTTCATTGTAAGGAAGAAGATAGCTGAATATAATTATTTTAAGTCAGTACTGTAGATTTTTTTTAAGAGAAACATTTTTCAGCTTTTTATAAGAGAATTTGCTTTCCCTTTACCCTTTTTCCTATGCATGTGCATGCCTCTAAAAAGGCTTGGAGTAGAACCAGAATGGTCAGAAATGCAGAAGAGCTGTAGGTCTCTGAAAATATTTTTACAGTGTAAAAGGAATTTTTTTTCACATGAATCATTGCAGAGGTTTCTCATGCAACAGAACTCTGCTTTGTCCAAAAAATATGCTGAAAAACGTAGGAAGATTCCTTCAGAACGGATCATGTCTGTGAATCTAATAAAGCGTGAGCTTATAGTTATTTTAAGTCATAGCACCTGTATAACAAATACAATGGCAAAGACAAAATCACTCTTTTATACCACATCTGTGACACGCTTAGAACTGTGGGGGGAGTCGGGTTTTTTGTTGTTTTTGTTTTTTAAATGTTGTGATAGAATGCTAATATTCTAGTGAAATGATCAGGTTTTCTTCATTTTCTCTTTAATCTGAATTTACCCATCTCAAAGTGTCTAGTCTATTCTCTTATGAATATGTAAATAAAATGAAGAAAGGCTGATTATATAATTTGAAGCACTCAGCCCAGATAATGATTTTAAAATGCTCTAAACTCGATGAAATGAGAATTGTTGCAGTTTTTTATTTTGTAAATTATGAAAGTGAATTGCTTTTTAGTTTTAGTTTATCAAATCAGTGATAGAAAAAGATATTACCACAGGATAGAGGGGGGTGGCAAGACTAGATTGTGAAAGTGCTTGTGTCCAGGTTTTTTTAAAAAAAAAAAAAAAAAAAGGCATGTGAACGTGCTAGAAAGATATTTTGAGGAAGAAATGGAAAAGACTAAAATGAAAGGAGGAGGCATACACATAGCAAATACAATAAATACAGAGAATAAGTAGAAAGAATACACAAGGTGGGCAAAAGTAAGTAGAGGAACTAGATTGCATGTATTATTAAGTCTGTACCACTGCAGAAATAGATAACTACTATTCTCATGGGGCTAAGGGGGTAGAGGGAACGGTATTTCAGAAATGTACGTCCATCAGTGCAGGGAAGAATTGCAGTGTCACAGAATGCAGAAATCCAGGCCCCAAATGATTACGGTAAAATAGCTGTAATTCATCATATCTGTGTTCTGTATCATCTAAAACGTTATCCAGGACCAATTACGAATACAAAGGCATAGATATTTTTTCCAGTGTAATATGGACCATAATCCATAGGTTTTTTTTTTTTTGAAGTAGCATGTCAGATTTAACATGACAATTTGTGCATACAAGTAGTGGAGAAGAATGTTGGAGGTCTTTCTTTTAACCTTAAGAGAAACTAGATCATTCTTCGGAAAAACAGCATGACCATTCTGTTGCTAGTGCTTATACCATTCAAGACTGAGAACGTTGCTTCCCCCCCCCCGCCGCCTTTTTGTGAAGCAGCTGACTTACAGCCCTGATGGGGAAATTTTAAAGGCTCTTGATCAATATCGGTCAGATATTAAGAACTTCTGATATGTCAAAATACTTTAAAAATATTAAAATACATTACTTCCATCGTTAGGGTTTGAAGGTCTCATGCTTCCAGGGTTGCGATGAAAAAGCAGAATCTGCACTTATGGGTAGGCAACATTAATTAGGAACATGGTACCCGGTTCACAGTGCTCCAATCTTTGATTCTGGATTTGCTTATAAATCTATAAATATAGATGTGAAAATAAATCTCAAGTCTATTTTGCAATAGTGCATTTTAAGAACTGTCTCTGAGATCTACGCTATCATACAGTTGAAAGGTTTTGCTATACTTGCAGGCTCTGCAGTTACATTATGGGAATCAACTTACATTACAATGAAATTAATTCTGTCGAGGGACTCATTAAATGAATACAAAGTTAATCACTTGCGAAGAGATAAAAGCAAAGTTGCAGTAAGCTACTGTAAAGATCAGAATATGGTTACATGGGCACAAAGAGTATAAATGAAGGGAGTATTAGTTTGGAATAAAAAAAAAAAAGCTGTGATGATGGGCACAATCAATTATTGTGTCAGAGCGGTAATTCCAGGTGCTGCATAGCCAGAACTAGTTTGGCTTAAAGGCATATCAGAATTCATGACCCTTCTTTGTGTAGGGCGAAAATCTGTTTTGTCGAAAGCTTGCTTTATTCTGTCATTCTCGGTGATTTGGGGAGCAGAAGATAGGCAGCAGACAACTTCCAGCTCCACCTAACTTCCTTTGGAAGAGTTGAGGCACTGTCAGTTTCTAGAGTCTGTCATCTGGAAAACTAAAAATAGGGGTTCAGTGCCAGACCATCCAACTCCTCCCAGGTATTTTTGCTTTGTGTTTTCTCATGTACCCCAATAAAAGCAAATCTTTAAAATAATCTCATCTGGAAGATAGCAAGACTAGATGGTATGGCTCTAGAGTAGCACTAGCTTACCCTAGAGAGGGTATTTTCACAAGCAGATTGGAGTATCATCTCCCTACCATCCCACAAATAAAAGTTAATGCTGTTGCTTTTATTTAAATATTTCAGAGGTATAAGGGCTGCACAGTCTGAAGTAATTATGTAGTCTGCTATTTCACACGGCGATTTCCTGACAAATCAGAAGAGAAATTCCAGAGCTGAGACTAGGTATTGAAAAAGGAGGACTTCAGCTTTCTGGCTTGTGCAGATTTAGTTACAATTTGTATGGAATCACAAATGAAAAATAGTTTCTAATGGAAGATCTGCTTGTAGCAGGCAGCATCTATTCTACTATGATACTGCAAGTTTAAAAGTTTGTCAAACTGATTGTAAATCTACCATTTCCTTTACAGCTTACCCTGTTATCAATCTTGTGAGCAGTTTAATAGACTTCAGCCATCAGACTTTCAAGGCTTGTCTCATAACAATGACGGATAGGTTGGGGACTAATATTGTGTGTCTTGAGAAATTGTCGTCTTTCTCTGAGAACCTTGACAAAGAAATTGAACTCTTTAAACCACTTAAAGGGGTGATCAAAACTGTCCTGCTTGAACTGGAAGATTTTTTTTTTGACAGTTCTCAGAACAGGTCCATAAAGGAAAATTTCATTGCTAAGCTCCTGCCCATGATCATGAAAAATCTTGTCGTGACACAAGTTTCCTATGCTGTAACATTACCGAGTTACAGACAACTACAAGACTAGTCAAATCACTGCCATCAAATTTTTCAGGGTGAACATCCTGGGTAGAGGACACAGGTTTGTTGACAAAGTAGAGCAGAAATTTGAGAGAACTGGATAAGATGTTACCTACCTATGTCTGCTCCACTGTGAATAAAAAATGTGTTTATACTTTGGTAGTAATTAGCCATTTTGGTGCTTAAATTGAGCCGTCAACTTAAGTGAGCTACTAGAGCTTTAGATATTTTCAAGCTAGTAATCTAAGGGGAAGCAAGCTCTCGCAGGAAGGGCAACAAGTCAAGTTTGTATGTCATTCAAAAATGACATTTGAGTAGAGGCCTCCAACTTCTTCGCATTGTGAAACGTGTAAGGAAGGTGGGTACTGACAGGAAACACTGTCCTATTCAAAAGATTCTTGTCTAGTTGCTTCAACCGCCTATACCTACAAGGTATTTTACAGAAGTCTAAAACCCGAACAACTACATAAGAGCCAGGTATTCTTCCTTAGAAGACAGCTGTGTTTGGTTTTTTTTTTCAAAATTAAATAACGCTGAATAGAGCTCAGAAACAACTCTCACTGGGTATGCAGAGTAAAATCTCTGTTCTTTACTATTGACTTTTGCTCTACTAGCTTGCTTTTTTCAGGATTTTAGCTGCTTGGCTTGACAAGAGTATTCATACAACTGTTCCTGATGGCTTTTGTTTGCTCTAGGTTTATAGAGGAGCTCTGACAGTAGGAATCCAGCGTTTTGAATTGGAATGTTCTTTCCTTCTAAAACGTCCTGGCTTCTGTCAAAGTCATAAACACTTTAATGTTTGTGTTAAATCTCTTTATTGCATGGCCGCGTGGGGAAGAGATTACCTTTTCTTTCTCTTGGTCGCTATGGCATACTTTGATATGGAATTGCGAGAAGTTAGATGTAGGATGCCATTAAGAGGATGGAAGATGAATGGAAAATCAGGGTGCTGGCTAGACACGCTCTCTATTTGTTATGTCGATGTCATCCAGCTTAAGAATTGCATCCACCCTTTTAAAAAAAAGATCTGAGCATACTCTATGATTAAACAGTTCATCTTCCCAAACACTTCTGTAAGCTACAGCACTGAAAACCATGAAGTCCTCTGCTATTTGCTCCTCCTGGTCAGAATTAAAAAGAAGAAAATCATAGGCCCTGCAAAATCTTGTATAATAACTCCACAGGGTCTTCCAAATACTGCTCTTTCTTTTGGCTGTCATCTGCAGGTGTTTAGCCATGCAGGGGTTTCTGGGCATCTCTATAAGTGGTTGCAATAGCCTATGAATTTTGAGAGTCACGGGAGTATTAAAAATGTTACTCTGGTTAACTAAAACTAGACATTTATTCTTACAGGTTGACAGACCATGTGAATCTGTAAGAGCTATTAAACCTTCCTTTTAAGCTCCTGATAAGTGTTCTTGATATACTGTCACTTCTAATTAATAAAACCCTTTCTTTATGGGAAGAGGGATGAGTGAGAAAACAGACTGGCTACCTCAGCTGGTCCCTGCTGACAAATAGCTGTGCAAATGCCACCACCAGTGACAGCTGCTCCTGTTTTCAGTTCATTCTCAAGCTGAAGAGAAGTGAGCACAGGATATCTTAGTTGTGTATTTGGAGGCCATTTTGTATTGCTACCAAGGAATAATTTAAAGTACCTTATTTGTGAGGGTTCCTAAGATGTACAGATTTTAATTCATCTCCGACTCATCCAAATAATATTTTAAAGTTTTTTTCTATTCAAAAGTACTGCACATAAAAATAGACGTATTAGATATATATAGATTCCAGACCTGTACTCATGATAAATTCATATAAATGCAGGTGAAAGATGATGTTTTACTGTACTTTCACTCCACATTGTCTATAATGGTAGTGGAATAAATCAAGAGTAGTATGTGGGCCACATGTAGAATGTTTTGCAAACTCTCTCTGTGGGGAGGGAATGCCATTTCTATCAAACAACTTAGAGAGTTGAGGTGCCTAAATACCTTTTGCATTCTAGTTCTAGGTCACTTCAAGTCTGTGCAGCAACTCTTTTCACACTTTTTCTGACTTCAGTTACAATAGAAATCAATGGATGTGGGCTCCTAAATAACTTTGAATCTGACACTTAAAAATATTAAAATCCAGAAGTGGAAAGTCCATGTCTTGTACATAGTCAAAATAATGGTTTAAGAAAATAAATTGTTCCTCTTCAACATTATTGGTGGTAGCAGAAGCCAATAATCATGGCCAAGCAAATCAGAGTTACTCAGTCATAAATTACTAGCTGAGTTGTTTTTTTCTATAACCGGAAAAAGGCCTAACGTTAGCAAAGGTCTTAATATATAATCCACTTCATACTAGTCTTACCTGTGCTAGGGCTCATGTCTGTTTAAAGAACATAGGTGCACGCGTCCTTGTGGCAAACTGAACTTATGCATGTACCCAAGTCTTTGTAGACTGGCCCTTATGTTCGAAAACCTCATACTGAGTGGCTTGCATCTACATGGGTTGCATAAACCTGATTATTTAAATGGAAATTGTTCTGTCAAAGATTTGGTCGTTATTAATAAAGTAAATGCTAGCTAGCATTTATGTGACATCTACATTCTCTTTATCATGTTTTCAATCATAAAAATATGGATCCAGCTGCCAAAAGGCTCTTGAGGTTTTGTTTTTTCCTAGAGCTGAGAGTCTTTCTAGAGATTTATCAAAATAATTGCAGCATTTATATAACACAGTTTTCTGAACAGTGTTTTATAAAGGACGCTGGTTTTCTAATAAGCTAACAGAATGGAATAAAAATTTGCCTGCTAGAAGCTCTCATGGGACCTTTGTACCTAAAAAATGGAAAATGTGTCAGAACAGTAAAGTTCAGTATAGTCCCTATGTAGCGGTATAAAAATAATCCACTTCTGTCTGTAGCAGATAAAAGTAAATTTGTGAAGAATGTGAATGATATTTAAATTGTATATATTTGCTATAAAAATATAGCAAACAAGAATATGAAAACTGGCTCACCAGTTCATGTAATGAGTTAAAGTTGTTACCTGGATGAATCGTCCTCCTCCAAACCTGCTCCCTAAACAGCATGGTGTTTCTGAAAGCGCTAAAAGACAGAGCGCTATCATGAAGTGGGTCTGGGTAGCTGTGTGCTGAAGATAGCAGCATCATTAGCACAATTGTACCAGGAGGCAATTGGACAGGAATTATAAAGGTGCAGGGAATATTAAGCGATGCTAAAAATTTTAAGACTGACAGAAAAAAAATCTAATTATGACAAGACTTGGTGTGGTTTCACTGATTGAATGGGATATAGCCTCTACAGGAGGGCGGCAGACTTTTGAGATGAATTTCCTCCGAAGCAGTCAGAAGTGTGAGTTTTGCAGGAGATACTTAGTGAGGTGATAAGGACTGGGAAATATGTTCTGTACTTGTTACACTCTTCAACTCTGTCTCAAGTCCTCTTCTCTCTTAGTAGATCTTAAGACACCAGGGAAAAGTGAGAAATGTTGCAGAGAAAGAAGTAATGGCCTTCTGCATAGTTTGAGCATAGGCACTTATTCTCTGTATGTAGTTATAGAGGGACTAACACGTGTTTAATTCTGTACTGACACACACTGGCCAGCATGTGTTCGCCAAAACGTGAGCACCCTCTAGCTTCCCAGATCAAAACTTAGTTGAGTTTTAACTAGAAATCCTTATTTCCAAACACTCAAGAAGTTGTAGCTGAAGCTACACCACAGAAATCAAATGAGAAAGCTCCCTTCAGTCCTAACATCATTGCTCACCTACGAATGGGAGAGTAGAAGGATATAACTGCACTGAGAAAATGCTCATCAGAGGGCAGAGTTTACTTAACGGCATAGTCATTTCTCACAGTAAATCCACATGTAAATTAGAGAATCAGTTTAATCAAATTCCAGATGCAGACACGCATCCTGGGTCACATCAGGGCATCTGCTAGAACTACTATGTGAAAGACCAGCTGAAATCATGCCTAGTTTAAGAGCTTGGGAAAGAATTTATTTAGTTCTCTGTTGTTTATCTCGTGAGTGAAGTAGCATCCAAAAATTAACCAAACAAAACAGCCTGGTTATTCTGATACAACCTGTGTCTTTGATTTGTGTATTTTATTGTTGGGTCAGCCTTTGAAGTTAGGACTCCTGAGTAAGCCAAAGCTAGACCCTTCTTGCTGTGGGACAGTCAGTGGTGGCGTGAAGGTTTTTATTTTGTCAGATAGATAGTGTTATTTCTCCGGTGAAAGAGAACGCAAGTGAAGAAGAACATCGATTTCAGCAGTGTTCATTTAGACCAGCCTGTTCATAACACTGGCCCAGAAAATAATCCATATTTCAAACATCATAAGCAAATAACCCTTTCCCAAAACTCTCTCCTGTTAGTCAGCAATTAGAGGTGTATATGAGCAAATGAACTTCACTGACCTTCTGTGATCTTATATTTCATCTTGTCCCTCAAGAAACTTCAAGCCCCGTTGGAGAGCTCTCAGCAGCACCATTTATAGTCTGGTAATTTTGAAAACAGCCTGTGGTTTTGTCCACTAACGTCCACTGAAATTGCACCAGTGACAGGCTACGGGGAAGTCAGGTGAAAATGTTAGATACGTGTCATGAAGGACACCAGGAATGAAAGCAGGCTTGATCTCACAGAGAAATGCAGCTTAAGTATAAAACGAAATCCACATGGCTATACTGTCAAAACAGCTGTCACGTCGCAAAGCGACAATGCTATCCCTCCTTTATGCATATCACCCTGTTAAGGGCTATTACAGACCTTTAAGACAGGTTTTACAGTAGATTTAAGATGATTTTTGAAGCATCTCAATTTTGCGGGCAATTACTTGGAAGCAGCTGGGAGAATTACACGTTTTCAGAGGTCGAGTGCTCGGGATTTACCAAGAACCCACTCAGCGCCTTTACTCTGCTTCCAAACAGACCTAAAAACGCGGGGGGGATTTCAAGAATTTTCTTTTTTTTTTTTTCTTTTAAACGGGAAATATTCCCCTTTGAACGCGGCAGCCTCGAAAGAAGTATGACCCCCGCCCTGAGCCCTTCAGGAGGGGGAGGTAGGTCAGCGCCACAGCCTGACCGTTAAACCGCTAGGCGCGCTGAGGGGAACATGGCGGAGGGGGGGAAGGCGGGAGGAAGGGGAGGGTCCGGCCGCTTCACGGGGAGCCGGGGTGGGAGTCCGCCCGGGGCTTGGGCGGGGCGGAGGCGGCACC